ACCTTAAGCCGTACACCTTCGACCATCAGCCGTGCACCATCAGTGCGGGTGAAACCAAGTTCATCCCATATACTCGATAGAAAGACGAGTTTTGCGCGACGCAGTTCACTTCCCTCTATATCTCAGAGGCAAAACTTTGTCGTCACAGAGCCCTCTTCAGAACCCCCGCTTCGCGTTATTGTACAGGCTGGTACTCTCAACAATCTGGTCACTATTTTGGTGCATGGACTTCGTAACGTCTCTGTCTCTGTTGCTGATGACAATGGCGAAATGTCCTTACGAGAAGACATGACCCGTGAGCTTGTAGTCGATCACGCAGAGTTTTCAAAGGTGTGGTGGAATGTGTTCCGCAGTTTTGTTACTCCGTTCGTATTCTTTGAGGTGTGTGCTACTCATAAACTTACTTTTTATTTCCGAACTCACGATGATGTCCACTAGCTCTTGAGGAAGCAATACATCACAATTCAAGCAGTAGGTTCCTCGCCATCCTGCTCCGAGTACCATACTGTAGCCAATTCACGCGTGGCGGTGTTGGAGACCATGAAGGAGTGGATAACGATAGGGGGAGGTGCTCAGGATATCCTTGACGACCTTCAGCTCTATAATGCTGTCCGATCATTTTTGACCAGTGAATCAGACCACATGGTCTTCAAATCTGAAAACTTCGAAGATGAATCTGTTCGTCAAGCTTGGGCTACTCTTACCCAAGCGAAGAGCGCTCTTCATTCTGCCTTCCTGTCGCAGACGATGAGGCCTACCATTCCTCGCGTGCTGCATAATGCAAGGCCTAACACCACGGCTAATGGTGCACGAACACGCTACGTCAGTACCCGAGACCCTCCTGATCTCGATCGCATGGATCCTGAAGAGTTCGTTGATAATTTGGATGGAATGGCTTGTGCAGCTTTCAGCAATGTCACTGAAGAGGTATGTATTCTGTTGCACTGCGAAACATTACTCTTACTCTTCCCTCAGGATCTATACATTACCGCCGACCTTCTTGAAGTACAATCAACAGATCGCACTGGGTGGTTCTCTTCCCGAGATGCCCTTTACACCGAAGAATCGATTGAGATTCAGACGATATATTCTCATATCCAAGAGGTTGAGCCGTCCTCAATGATTTCTGAAGTCAGTCATGAAGCTTTGTATCGACTTCTACCTCCTGGTATTCGAAGTTGTATTAGAGCGTATGGCATTATACGCAAGTGGTTGATCTCAAAAATTGTCGCTTCCCGTCTTGGTTTGCGTCAAAGACAAGCACGTATGGAGCTTCTTCTACAGGCCATCGAGGTTGCGCGATCACGGAACTCGGAGATTGTAAACCACTTACCCTTGACCTACTCAATAGAGAGACCATGCATTCGCTCATTTGTCGAAGCGGTCACTACCTCTGCTATTCTCAGTGTTGAGAGTCGAATGCACCATCGTGCATGGCAGGGAGTAGGTGTGAGTCGTGGTAGCCAGTGTGATACACTCGCTTCCTTGCTTCATCGTCCCTTCGTCCAGACAATAACTTCTCGCGACCCTCTAACTGTTGACATGGGTTGGTTGATCGAGCGAATGCTTGAAGTTATCGCTAGCCCAGATGTTGTGGAGGCAATGTCGCCGGAAGGGCAGAGCTTGGTGAACTTTGACAAACGAAGGTACGCCATTGCAGTTTCAATGAGATCCACATGCTGAAGTACAATCTAGACACCTTTGTAATCTGATAAGCAAGGCTCGTTCACTGCCTGCGCCCCGTAGGACCATTCAGACAGACGAGGTGAATAGACGTGGCTTCGAACGCCTGAACAACGTGGAGAAAGACGTTCTTCTGCTACAGTTTGACCATCGTGGAATCAGGGACGAAGCAATGCAAGAAGCCATGCAAACCAGCATGACAAGTCCTTCATCAGCAAAGAAGGTTCCAAGGCCTTTCCATCGCTTTGTCGCCTTGCAGAACGAGAAGAATCGTCGAGACAAGAATCTTCGCAGCCGCCTTCAGAAAGAGAAGGTTTATGAGCAGACCAAGAATGAGAAGCGCGATGACCTGTTGAACAAAGCCATGCGTCCTCGAAAGCCATCTACTGCTGCGCAAAAGCAACACAGGAACAAGAAGAGTATGTCGGCATTTCTCAATTTCATACGGCCCATATCAAGTGCATTTGGATCGGATGCTTTCCACGGTCCTGGCCTTAAACGTACAGCTTCAGAATTGGACTTCCCGGCATCGGGGAAACCTGCATTAGTTCTGAGTGTCCTAGATGCTCATGTCGTCCAATTCATCAACAACGAACGCTCGTTCACCTTCCAGCTCGACACTGAAGATGGTGGCCACTATCTCCTTCAGGCGATGAGCAAGCGAGAGATGACGAAGTGGCTTGATACTATAACTCGTGTCACGACGATGGCTGCTAAACGGCGCCTCACGTACCTCGGTAACTCACCTAAAGCACTAGTATCTGATCATATCCATAGTCATCCTGTTGTACGGTCTAGGGACCCTAAAGCTGGTGAGTTGCTTCTAACTTAATCATTCGTAATCACCAATGGATTGACATGGGGAATAGTATTTGGTGTCGAGCTCGAGTTCTTACTTCAGAGGGAATCCGATGGATCACAGGTTCCGCCGGGAACAGTACCCTCGATCATCGAGGAGTGCCTCTTTGAAGTCGAAAGCCGTGGCTTGAGCGAGGTTGGAATCTGTTAGTACTCCACCCTGGTCCTCTGCACATAGACATCTACTAACAAAGTTTCCCAGACCGTATTGCTGGGGCTGCGTCCGAAATTAGCGCCCTAAAGGACGCATACAATCGAGGTAAGTCTTCAGGTGTGATATTCTTGCACTGTATGCTTATGAAACTCTACTAGGTGAACATCCCATCAAAGCGACGACAGACATTCACGCAGTATGCGACCTAGTCAAATCATGGTTCCGCGTTCTTTCCGAGCCCGTCTTCCCTTCATCTTCGTATCATCAAGTCATGGAAGTAATGAGTAAGTGCTTCGTCACAAAACACGTGTGGTGATTCTGATGCCAAGGTTCGTTAGGATTGGAAGATTTGGATTCCCGTCTAGCTGGCATCCGCAGTGTTGTTCAAGCCCTCCCTCAAGCTAACTTTGATATCCTCAAACGAGTGTCTGAGCATCTAGACAAGTAAGTCTTCATATGTACCCGTATGCTCTCATGTTAACATCGTAGCCTAGGGTCACTGATTTCGAAGAGCATAACCATATGACTGCGGAGGCACTAGCCATCGTGTTTAGTCCTAATCTGCTGCGTGCTCCTCAAAACGACTTTGTGATGATTCTCAACAACATGGGTCTCGCGAATAAACTAGTGAAAGCGTTGATTACCCATGTGAGTAGAAGCGCCGGAACCTCACTTTGCCTTTCAACTAAAACTTTATCTTAGTTCCACGTCATCTTCGACGATGCTGACCCCGAGGCCGATATGCCTTCCGATGATGATGATAATGATGACGAGCTGGACTCCCCAATCATGGAAGAGGACGAGGAAGAAGACCAGCAAGGCCAAAACACCTCTATGCGAGATACTTCGCCCACTCCTGAACGAGAGCGACCATCTTATACCCTCTGCTAACACCCATCAGTACTACCACCGACCTCACCCTTCTTCTACACCATATCCATGAGCAACAACGACTCTCGCAATGCCTGTACCTATACCACGTACTCTTCTCGTTCCTCCCCGTTGCTCTCATCCACTACTCCTTGATTTCGTCCTCGCACTTACCATATCAGGATGTGCTTTCACTTACATCGGACGATCGTCAACTGGTCGCTATAAGTACTAATTATTTACCCGTTTGTTTTATGCATGCCGTAGTAGTAGTCTGTAGTTCATATGCTTCTATATTATGCGTTTTCTATTCAATTCGCTCTTTCTTAGTTCCTTTTTGTTTCCTCTATTTTTGTTTTCTTTGTGTGCTCTTATTTGGATCGAAGGACTACGGATCGAGTGAATGTAATAATTTTGAATTCCAATCATGAACCGTGTTCATTGCTGTTCTTCTGTCTAGAATCAAGTTCTAGACAACTACAGTTGAGTGTCGCGAATATCAGTGTCCTCAAACACCGTCGATACTTTGTCGAAACCCAATTAACTTTTGCTTAGGAAACCATCCACCAACCATAAGCGGTCCTGCCCAGTTCATAATGATTCCGCTTGGTGGAAATATCCCTACGCGGTCAATAAAATTTATTTGATAGCCTCTTTTATTTTCTACTTCACCCCTTATGTCTTTTTCTCTGTTATAAAATCGACTTCAGACAAAGCACTTCGTACTAGGGTGAGTGCACACGTCGGAGTGATTTTTCGAATATCATCATAGAGTGCGCGTTCTTTACACCATCATGATTATTCTATGATATCCAGAGTTGAACCGCAAGTACATTTTTTGAATTCAGCTCTTAAATACTACTAGGCCATTGATTTGTTTGTATATTATTAAGATCTCGGGAATGGCATTGGGAGGAAGGTTGGACGTGTTATAATGATCTTGCTGCACAATCTGGTGTTATGCGATGATGACCGCATTGCGCTCGCTTCACAGAGTGGGTAGATTTGCCGATTTATACTTTATTCGCATGGGGCATGAACGACAATTGATATTTCATAGGTCAATGTCTCGGACCTCACTGGAGGCTCTTTGGCCAATTCGAATCCAATTCAAACTTGGCAATACACCAACTATGACTTTGCTAATCGAGTATGGCACATTAATAGTACTTCATAGTGAAAGGTTTACTTATTTCGATTTACGGGGTCGAAAAGACGGGTCACCGGCCACCACTGTCTTTAGAAACTCGTGTTAATATTATTTTTACGGCATCGAACGAAGCAGAGAGGGGAAAGTATACCTCTCCCCTGATTAATGAAAAAAAAAAGAATGGGACACTAACAATGGTAAACTCATCTCCTAGTGATTGGATGGACAGTGACTTTCGGCATATATTACCAACATGTTAAATGCAAAGGATATTGCTACTTTCAAGTCGGTATCGATTAGGGGTTAAATCACTTCGTTGTGGTCGTCCCATGAACACTGAATTATCCGAAGAGCCGCTGGTTCGATTCCAGCTACCGACACTACCGGGGTTATATTGAGTGCTGTTTTGAGTGCCATTTGCGATATCATTTTATCTTTCGTCTCCACCTCAAGCCATGCAGCCCGGCAGGATAAATGTATTGATTTTGATAAATTTATATGAATATAGCTCAGTTACGCGACATTTCCATTGAAACGCGAAACGAGGTACACATGTGAAGAAAAATAAGACGAATTTGACAAGAAATGCTGTGAAGGACTATATTTGTATCTGCTGAAGTCTGGTAGATGTGATAAGCAACCCCAAACATTTGCTCATTGCCAGCAACGACGAGCCTCCTATCACCGCGTCATGCAACGCCTTCACGCCTAATCCTCTTCTCTAACTAAATACCTCTCGGTCAACATGGTTCTTGGTGTCGTCGACGCCCTCGCCAGACGGTTCTTTCCCACGCAATACATCGTCCACATCCTCGTCGGATTCGTCGTCGTCGTCGCTCTTCGCGCATTCTCGCAGGGAAAGAGGACAAACAGGGAACGTGACCTCCATGCGCGAACGATTCTAGTAACAGTGCGCTGCCTTCCATTCTCAATCATCCCTCTTCTAACAGATATCCAGGGCGGATTCACCCCACTTGGGCTGATACTATTACACAACCTTGCTGCAAGGGGCGCTCACATAATTGCGCTGTCGCCATATCCTGTTTCACACCCACGCACCTCAATTCTAGTGGAATTACTCCGAAGCACGACATCCAACGAGCACATATTCGCTGAACATGCCGATTTGACATCACCCTCGTCCATACGCCGATTCTGCACCAAGTTTCTGACGGGCGACGACCAGCGACTGGATGCAGTAGTCTTTTCGCATGAGTATCGACATATAGGTGCTTGGAGGTGGTTCCGGTCGCTTACTAGCGTAGTGGAAGAAGAGGATAAGCAGCGAGAAGGCGCTGCGCTAGCGACGTTCTTGATCACCACCTTACTTCTCCCAGCACTCCTAGTTGCCCCGGTGGAGAGAGATATCCGTATCGTCAATGTTGTTAACCCCTTTTATGCAGCTGCAGCCTCCTCCGTATCCGTCTTCTCCCCTGCTATGTCTGTATTCTCCCCTTCTACACTTACCCCGAAACCCCAATCCAAATCCAAATCCAAACCACTTCTACTCGCAGAAGGCACCCGATCCCTGCGTACACTCATTCTCTCACGGCACTTGCAACGTATACTCGACTCGCTACCTGCGGCACAAGTTCCGCCCACTGTGGATGGTACGAGCGCCGTCCCAGTTGTCAGTAGCAAGGCGCAGAAGAGCAATATCGTCGCCGTGAGCGTATCACCAGGGATCAGCCGCGTAGATACTGTCGCCCAGGTGCTCAATGCCGACTGGACGCTCGCTGACACGCGGTTTTCTTATTTTGGGGTGTTCTTGTACGTACTTCTTTGCTCCGCTTTTCGATCCAAAACTCACCTCATACAAATAGGTACATCATCCTCCAACCCTTCCTTCGCATATTTACCAAATCCCCAACCATGTCCGTCCAATCCGTGCTCCACGTCCTCTTCCTCCCTACACCATTCAAGATCCTCGCGCAGACTGCATTCAGTACTTCAGATGACGCTTCTGCCAATGCCAAGGACAAACCTGCGAGCAAAGTCAAAACACCGCTTGATGCGCAGCTGGAGATGCCAGAAGAGGTGCTCAAGCCTGGGGCGCTGTACGCCGAGTGCGCTGTGGTGATGGTCAGAGTGCCTGTACCTGCTGATCCTTCCGCCAGTACGCCTTCGGAACCAACCCCTGCGCCAAGCGAGAAGGCTAAAAAAGCTAAGGGTAAAGATAACGATAAGGCAGCGGAGGAGCCTCTTCCTCTCTCTCAAGACGACGAGTACGGGGGAGAGTTGGTGGGAAGGCTGGTGTGGGAAGCGTATGAAGGTGCGCTGAAGGAGTGGGAAGCAGCAGACCCGAACCCTGTGGGCCCGGAGGAAGAGGAGGTACCCAAGGAAGCTAGGGAGCAGGTGAAGTCACAGGAGGAGGTAAAGGTGGAAGAGGAGAAGAACCCTTACTGAACTAGACGACTAAGTTATTATCTTGTGCGTGTACTTTGTACTTTAGGGCTTTGTCATAGTTTCTAAGGCTCATTCTTACACTTAGGGACTGTTTACTTTTGATCATAGACATACTTGGTCATTCACTTACAGATACCATACGGGATGAAGTATAGTAATTCACTGACTTTGTGGGAAATTCGTCGACCATAAATAATGAATCATGTTTAGGATAATGTTGGGTGTACACGCTTATCGGCTGACTATTCTCGTGTCATTAATTCATTGATGGTGTTGATTATTATATTGTAAAAATTTAGGTTTTCAGCTATTAATTTGTTGGGCAAAAATTAAAGGACAAATCATTCATCTGGCAGAAAAGATTCTGATGATAATTGGATGTCGGTAGCTGGAATCGAACCAGCGGCTCTTCGGATAATTCAGTGTCCGTGGGACGACCACAACGAAGTGATTTAACCCCTAATCGATACCGACATGTTAAGAGTAGGAGATATAGGGTCCAGGGCCATAATCTTACTGAGAAGCCCAAATGCTGAGGCATACATTAGATGGCGGCATTTTCCGGTTTTAGAATTGACATGTTTGAAAGCAAGGATGGAGCCACATACTGTAGCGGTTGTAAATTCGGGCATTCCATCATTTCCTGCTCCGCCTTTTCCACACTACTATCTCCTCAAGTACTGTTACTTTATTGAAACCAGCGTTCTGTCCCGCATACATTCTCTCTCTCTTTGAACTAGTGAAATACCACCCTATCAGATCTCTATTCCCCATGCTATCGGGACGTTCGCCGCACCTTCAACCGCCGTTTCAACGTTCAAGTTTTTGCCCCACCTCAGTAGCATTGCAGAGTCTCCTATTCCAACGGCAGTCACAGAAGATGCAAGGTCTCTCAGTCTCTCATCCGGCTCGGTAGAACTGCCACTTTCGGATCTCTGCGCAAAGCTCAGCTCAAGGGATGATTCTGGTTCAGTCAGTAGGAACGGAGTTGGGGTTCCCATTTGTAGTATGTAAATTCCACGCAATCTCAGCTACATGCGTAGTTTAAGCTAGCGGGAAGGCCGACAATATCCAGCTGATCACGACAGCCCATACCCAAGGTGTCTACGCTTCTGTGCTCGACAAGCTATCTCGTATTCAAGCTCGGCCCAAACATCCTCAATCATATCTCTCGACACTGCAAGCCACACTGCCACTCTACCCAATCAACATCGACTGCGAGTACAACCCCAACCACTTCTTACCCTGAAGAAACAGAAGGCTACTCAGATGAAAACACTCCTCCGACTTCCAGTACTGTCCGTGCAAACGCAACCGAAACCACGACACAGGTCCCGGCAGATCAGCAAGCTGACCCATTCTTGTTCGTCCGGGTGTTGAATCTGTTACTCGCAATCGTTATTTTTTTATGCGCTGTTTTCTGTTGAGCAGACCTTTTCCAATCGTACCACCTCCGAGAATGACACAGACAGGCACCCAGTTTTATTCTTCATTTTCGGGTTCATTCTATTCATAGATTTGTATATCCATGCACACAGTACGGCTGAACATATTTCATTCTTTTGTTCATGGCAATTTGTACACCTGCACGAATAAGTATGAGTATGTTGGCTGGTTAATTCTCATGTAATGTATCCCAACGACTATTGGGATTTCTGTGACTCTGACATCAGACGTGCTGGAATCTGGAATATCTTAAAGCATCGGAGAAGGCGCATCGGTGAGTATCATCTAGTATTTCGTTCAGAAATTCTTTCGGCTGTGGAGGATCTCTATGATCGAAGAATCCACGATGGATTCTCATACACAGCGCGTTCTTGGACTTGTACGATAAACAACGGGAGTAATACTCGTCTCACCACTTGCCAGTGCCCTACTGTTCAACTCAATGACTACAAAGTCGCAAGTCATCAGATTTAATACCCAGTCGGATATTCTAACAGAATTGACATCCGGCTCTGTAGTGGTCCGTCACAGAACTATACGTGAAGTTGTAAATCATGAATAGTGAAGATGAATCTTATTTTGAACATGGATAGACGTTATGGACTCTACTTACTATATATTATTTTACTTCGCACAAATTCACACCACTTGTCAACTTCTTTTCCTACCACGCTATGCAAACCTCGTTATTGTTGGAATATCGGACATAAAATTTACGAGTGAGCGCGATCTAGACTACGCCCGCAGTCGTAATGGCATTTTTGTGGCTGAATATGACTTTGATATGTATTTAAATATGTAGCTATTTCGTATATAAGTAGAGTATATTCGAGATTGTACACTATCCGTTTGCCTCACGAGCTCACCGAGGTCAAACGTTGTCGCTTATTTTAACCGTTACAGCTTTATATTCAAACGACATTGAGAGACTTGAGCATAAATCATAGTACGTCTATCGACATATCGCTTGGAATAATCACAAGTTCCCTTTATGTATTCACGAACGGCCATTTTACTTACTGTACTATAGATGTATTATCTAACATTGATTGTATCTAAGTATAGTAGACAGTCCGTTGTACCGAGACTGAGATGTATTATCTAACATTGATTGTATCTAGATTGTTTTAAGAATCCAATTTCTACAATATGCATCTCCCTACCCGGTATCAGATTTGGAACCTCAATAAAAATCCACCGAACGCAGCTTCGTTGACGACTTGATCAAGCAACCAAGGAACAGGTACTAAAAGTCATCCGATCTGTGTCTTGAATCGCGCCGATTTTCAAGCCTCTTTAACTAATGAAATTTACTTCTGATGTTGAAATAAGCGAAGTAAACGTTTGGCCTCGGTGGGCTCGTGAGGCAAACGGATAGTGTACATGCTCGAATGTACTCTACCTATATACGAAATATCTACATTCTTAGATAAATATCGAATGAATTAAGCAGCCACAAAAATGTAAGTATGACCGCGGGCGGAGTCCGGATCGCGCTCGCTCGTAATCTTAGCGCTCATATTTCAAC